TTTTTTTTTTTTTATTGTTTCCGCCGGTAGGAATGCTGCGGATGCAAAGTTAATTTAATAAAATATTTAATTGCGATTGTGGTGAAGTATATTTTAAAGTATTCGCATATCTAGGAAGTTAATTTGCATGGTAATATATTAATTCTAACAGACACGGAAATAAACAATACCGTAAAAACAGAAATAACAGACTGAGTTTTTGCTCTTTGTTACTCTGTCAAAATGTCACGATCTAATTTATTTTTTATCTAATATAAAATAACAGTTTTTATCTCTTTGATCGAGATTATTTCCAATTCTTTGATCGTTTTACATTATCTCAAATGTAATGTTAACGAAAATAACATTATTCTTCCGAATTGATTCCATTAAATTTAAATGAGTTTTTTTTTTATGGAAAAACTTTTATTTTTTCCAATAAAAATACTAGAACTCGGAAGTTAATTGGAATTATGTATTAAAATAAATTGAAATTTTAATTTTAGAATATGTCGAGTACGTGGTTTTATAATCAACTTTACTTTATTATCTAAAATTTTCATTCTAGTTAAATAACGTTTTTAATTGTTCTCAATCAACATGTTTTATTCAACGACTTTTTACTCTGATAAATCATTTAAAAATGACTAGCTAACTGCAGTCACTATGTGACTGCTGATAATTGTGAACTATAGATAAAATTTTGAATTTAATAATGACTTTTGTTAAATTGCACTGTAATTTCTTAAATATCGACGTTTTTATCGATATAAGCTCATCCTGATGTTACACTCATCGAGACCTTTCATTTGAGTACCCACATCAACTTTTCATATATTTTATATATTCATATATGTTATATATGTATATATGAAAAATATATCAAAAATGCATGTGGGTACTCAAATAAAAGCTCTTGATGTGTGTAACATCGGGATGAGCTTATATTTTAGAAATGTCAATAGTTCACAAGATACAAGGTCATTTCCTAATTATGTATCCTGGAGACAGAATTTTTCTTATTTCCTTCATAATGTAGATAATTCAATTTTTTGATAACGTTAAAAATCTTTATTTTGAATCCACTGCTTTCTGAATGGTCCTAGGAGAAAATTGTTAGGCATTTTTTTTATAAAATTTAATTTTGAACAATTTTTATTTAAAAAAATTTTTTTATATATCTAATCTATTCGCCGTAGTATCAAAAAATCAACACCCTTAATTAATAATAATTATTCTGAAATTAAATAATTTAATTTGTGACTTACCAAATTTACGGTCTTCAATTTCTTCCTTCATGTCTCGTAGCTCGTGAAGTAAGTCTCCAAGAAGTGTTCCCCGGGATTTGGGATAGGCTAGAGTATCGCCGTTGATTTTACCACGGATTATTGTTTGCATGTTGCGCTCGTGCTCGGATATTGGAGGCTGGCCAATTTTGTGGACGATGAAAGGAAGCATTTGGATGTAAAGAGCCGTTCGATGGGTCACTACAAACTCAAGGAAGTTCCACAGGTGGATTGACGCTTCGTTTCTTTTATTTAGTAGTCTCATTGTGCGGAGGATTTTTGTCCATTCGGTTTTTAATTCAGTCTCGAAGCAGATTATCATTATTTTTAGCGCTGAAATTATTAAAAATCTATTAAGGTAAATCACCCAGTACTTGAACACTTGTAAAAATGGCACCAGTAGTTGAACAGACTTTTAGAATAGCTGTAATACAAAATCTGTATATATATTATGAGTCATATGCGCATTTTATAATTATTCAATGATACAGTAATTGATTTTGGTAAGTTTTTTCAATTATAAATCAAAACAATTACATTTTTGTTAACTTTAAAGTTGACATGTCAAGAATCGCAGATAGATGCTATTTTTTTCATGAAAAAGGTACTAAACCGTAAACCGAACAATCAGTAAAAAAAACGGTGTATCATCATTTTAAGTGAAAAAAATTGTACCACCCAATGAAATAGTCTTTTCTAAATAATACATATTTTTTGCAAAGACATCAACTATAATTTTTATATTAAATTTTAGCGTTCAACTATACCTCCCAATTTTCAAAGCGGTACCCAGAACTTGAACAAGGTGGGACCATATAATTTTAACAGCACTCTAACCTTTAATAGGTTTATAGACTAGTGATCAGTATTGTGATGTGTATTAATTACTGCAAATTAAATAAGTTTTGTAACTAAAAATTAGTATAGTTAAAAACTATTGAACGTTTTGAATTGAGTTTTTTTGATTTATAATTGACAAATTTACTTTGTCATTCATAAAAAATGTAATTAATAAATCAAATACAAGTATTTCTCATTTTTAAATGAACATACTAAATATTCACAGTATTATTTTTAATATTATTCAATAATATATTATAAATCTTTGAATATTTCAATTGAACGTTAAAAAATTTTGGTGTGCCTATTGCCATATATTTTATTAGTTCAACTACTGCTCCCGGAGTGTTCAACTACTGCGGCTTGTCAGAATTGACTGTTCAACTACTACTCCTTTCATAGTCTATCTTAAAAATGTTGTCATATTATAAATATTCAATTATTTGCGTTATTTTGCACTTTAATCAATTTAAAATTGTTTATATTTTCATGAAAATCACTAATTTGAACTAATAATTACATATTTATATATTAAAAGTAGGGTCAAATACGTTTTACTTTGAAATTACTGGGTACTTTACCTTATAACATATAAAAATAATTAAAAATAAATAACTTACCCAAAAAAGCAACTTGATATAAAGACATGGATAATTTAGTAGAAATTTTAGTATCTCTTGCAGCAAAAGTAAGACTTCCTGCCCTCATATCGGTAGTAGCTTTCAAATTCTGCATAGCCATGGGCATAGTTTTTGTTCCGGTGGGCCACAAAGTGTTCAAAACAGCAATCAAAGCGAAGCTAAGATCCGCCGGGCGTAATTTCGGAACATCTTTGCGGCCGGTTCCAACCCTCAAAAAAAGTGGAATCAAAAGATTAAGTAACATATTCTCCGTGCGTGTTTGAGAAGCGAACATAGTCGAGCCTCCACAGACATTTTCCAGGGAGTATCCATCCCCCAGAGAGATCACGTGCAAGGCAATCAGCCTCAGGACCGTCGAACAGAAGTGCTGAGGCGGAATCTTGCTCATTAAAGCCGCTGAAGCTCCGGATGTAACTTCTACCAGGCCAGTGTCGCCGACTATCAAAGCTTGGCAGGTACTCAGCAGGGTCTTGAAGTACTGAAAGTGCGCGATGTAAGGGTACCGAGATAGAGTCTCGTAAATTCCTTTCAGCAAATCGCTGGCTGCCTCCCAGTCTGTATTGCGACGGACCGAAGCCTTTTTGTAGATTTTACTGAAGGTTTTGTCAAGTCGGCGCAAGATTATTGTTAAAGCTGGACGCATGTCGTCGTTTGACCACTCTGTTGATGGAAGAACGTCGTTCATGTATCTTCTTAAGCCTCGGCAGCCCATAGTTTCGGGGTCGTATGGTGCTACCTTCAGCAAACTGTGTGCTACATCTGCTAAGCGCTGGGGAAATAATAATTTTAGTTATTATTAATTAAGCACTAGAAATATTATTATCTTGTGAACTATTGACATTTTTAAAGAAATAAGCTCATTCCGATGTTATACGCATCAAGACCTTTCATTTGAGTACCCACATCAATTTTTCATATATTTTATATATTTATATATATATTATATATATATGTATATATAAAAAATATATCAAAAAGGCATGTCGGTACTCAAATGAAAGCTCTTGATGAGTGTGACATCGGGATGAGCTTATATCTTTAAAAATGTCAGTAATTAAGAAATGACCTTGTATTTTGAGAACTGTTGACATTTTTAAAGATATAAGCTCATCCCGATATTACTCTCTTTGAGACCTTTCATTTGATTACCCACATGCATTTTTGATATATTTTTCATATATACATATATATAGGATATATAAATATATGAAATATATGAAAAATTGATTTGGGTACTCAAATGAAAGGTCTTGGTAAGTGTAATATCGAGGTGAACTTATATCTTCAAAAGTGTTAATAGTTCTCAACATATAAGGTCATTTCTTAATTATTGACATTTTTAAAGATATAAGCTCATCCTGAGCTACTTTTTATTTAAAATAATTTTTTATACGACTAATATCTGTGTCGTGATATCAAAAATTAAGAAAAAAAAATTTTAATTAATAATTTTTTATTAAAAAAATCAATTAAATAATAAAAAATTCTTTTCTTTAAATTAATTTATGGTAATACTAATTATAAATAAAAAAAAAACTCCTACAAATTTTTTTAAACTAATAATAAAATTAAAAAACTCACCACATGACACTTGGAGTCCAACAACTCGATAGTTTTTCCATCCTGAGACTTTTTATTAAGCTCAGCGAGTCTAACAGAAGTTCTAGCGACAAAATCCCCGACAATGTTGAGTAAAGTGTCTCTGGGTCGCCTGAATTCATTTTTATGAGAACTCTCAGCGTCATCATTGTCCCGCTCGTAGAAAGTTCTGACTTTGGTGTGTTCTAGATACTTTGCCGTGTGAATTTCGTCCTCGTACTCGAACCCGGGGGAGTAAGGACCCTTGCCGTAATTCCTCTGGCTCGAGCCTTTGTGCTCCGGACTGGACTTTTGCGGGCCGTTGTAGTACTTGGTCAAAGCCTCGGAATTATTTACGAGAGTTTTAACAGCAATTGCAAGTTGGTTTATTATCTCCTTCTCGGTTTTTCCTTCACGGTTGTAAGTCGGGAGTTGAATTTGCTGGACGTAGCAAGGCAAAATTGCTTCCAGGATAGTCTAGAATTATTTTTTAATATAATATAATCATATGCAAGATTTTTTACTTAATTTTAGAAATATTATTAATTAATAGCATTCAATTTTTTGATACTACGGCGAATATATTGGTCGTATAAAAAAATTTTTTGAATAAAAATTTAATTTTATAAAAAAATTAATAATTTTCTCTTAGGACCAATCAAAAAGCCGTAAATTAAAAAAAAAAAACAATTGTTTTTTATTATCGAAAAATTGAATTATCTATATTATAAAGAGAATAAGAAAAATTTTGTCTCCAGAATACATAATTAAGAAATGACCTTGTATCTTCTGAACTATTGACATTTTCAAAGATATAAGCTCACTCCGACATGATATTCATCAAGAGCTTTCAGTTGAGTACCCACATCAATTTTTCATATATTTTATATATTTATATATATCATATATGTATATATAAAAAATATATCAAAAATACATGTGGGTACTCAAATGAAAGCTCTTGATGAGTGTAACATCGGGATAAGCTTATATATCTATAAAAAAGACTGTAATTAAGAAATAACCTTGTATGTTGAAAACTATTGAAATTTTTAAAGATATAAGCTCATTCCGACATTATATTCATCAAGAGCTTTCATTTGAGTACCCACACGCATTTTGATATATTTTTTATATATTCATATATA